TAGAGACCAAATTCTTCAACAGATTAATGATGTACTTTGTAGGGGGCTGAAATGCATGCTTTCCTGTGGTACACTTGGGTCTTCCATTTGGTGTGTGTTTCTCTAGATCACTCATAATTTTAATATACTTTTGTCATATCTTCTGTTCATCATCTTGCCCCCCAGCCTGATCTGAAGCTGCCTAATTTTTTACAGCCCAATCCACAGGGCAGTTAAGATGAAGTAATTGGATTTAAGTTGATTTAGTCTAATTGACTACAATTGGGCTAAGTCATCTTAAATCCAAGTACTTCAGCTAATTGAGTTGTGGTTTAGACTGTGCTACGCAAGCCTTGCAGCTTTCCTTCCTTTCAAAGATCTATCACAATTCCAGTGACGTACCTTTTTTCTATATTAAAGCATCTTTCTCTTGCTTTTTAAAGTTGGTTATAAGAATATAAGAACAGTTATGCTGAATTAGGCAATGGTCTGCCTAGCTCAGCATTCTGTCGCAATTGCAACCAAACAGATGTTTCTGGGAAGTTCACAAGCAGGATTTAAAAGTGAGGTCCTTCTTCTGCAGATTGTCCCCAGCATCTAGATGGATCAGAAAGGGAAATGCAACACAACAGATGAAAATTTGATGGCACTGGGCATGATCATGATAATATAGAACAGGATGGTGAAAGCTGTGACCTTACAGATGCTGCAGAATTCCCCATCAGCCCCTGCTAGCACAACCAATGGTCAAAGTCAGTGGGAGTTGAAGTCCAACATCTGAGGTTCACAGGATCACCACGCCCAATATAGAATCGAAGAAGAAGAAGGAGGAGGAGGAGGAGAAGAGTTTGGATTTGATATCCCACTTTATCACTACCCGAAGGAGTCTCAAAGCAGCTAAAATTCTCCTTTCCCTTCTTCCCCCACAACAAACACTCTGAGGTGAGTGCAGCTGAGAGACTTCAAAGAAGTGTGACTGGCCCAAGGTCACCCAGCAGCTGCATGTGGAGGAGCAGAGATGTGAACCCAGTTCACCAGATTACAAATCTACCGCTCTTAACCACTACACCACACGGGCTCTAGAACTATAGAGCTGGAGGCCATCTACTCCAGCTGCCTGCTCAATGCATGTTCTGCTATGCAGAATGAGACTACGACATCCCTGAAAGATGACAGCCCAGCCTCTGCTTAAATATGAGCAGTTTGTTCCATTGTCAAGTAGCTCATACCATTAGGATGCCTCTCCTAATGCTTGGCTGAAGTCTGCTCCCCTGCAATTTCCAGCCTCATTGGTTCTAGGTGGGTTCTAGGTAACCCCATGTGAGCACAGGATGAGAAAGTGACTGGCTTAAGATCACCCAGCCAGCGTGATGAAGTGATTTGAGGAGGGGTGAGGAACCTGCAGGCTAGCTGGAGTACTGGGCTAGGATTGTGGAGACAATTCAAATCCCCACACAGCCATGAAGCTGGTCCTGAATGTAAACCGTGGCAGGTTCCCCACTTACTCCTGCTCTGACCATGGCATCACATTGGCTCATATACTGTTAATGGAAGCAGGAGATATTTTAGGGGAGCACACCCTTGAAGTCATCCATGACAACTTACAAAACTCTATAAAATACTACCATGGGCTGTGATCCTTATAGCTTGTGATTCTATAGTAATTGCTCCTTGACATCCATATTGTCTCACCTCAAGAAAGTAAGTGCTCATTGGCTTAAACCTTGAACAGTCTCACATCTCCCTACAAAGCTATTTGACTCCATAAACTTTACCTGGAAATGGATCCCCCTGATTAATGGCATGTGGAAGCACCTCCTTTTTAAGCACTCCTCTCTCTGTTCATTTGGGAAGCTGATGCTTGAGTTTTACATTAAACTTTGCATCACAAAACTCCAACCTGCAGCAACAGCCACACTCCTTTCAGAGCTGGACTCCAGCCAGTCAAGATCTTCATTTATTGTAATGAATTTGTGCCGTTAATATGTTGGATATGCACAGCAATTGCAAAGTAGTACATTAGTAAAAAAGCTATTGCTCGGGATGCCAGCGTTTTATTGCCATTGCTGATTTACAGGATGATAAGCAACTCTGCAGTCGTCCTTGAGGATGGAAGGAAGGACAGCAAGCACAGCAGTGGGGAGGGAAGCCGATGTGCCTGAAAGCAGGGGTTAGAGACAAGGCCCTGTGGAATTGGGTGCCAGCTTGATGCCTTTCATCTCCCATCCTGAAAATGTATTCAGCTCAACAGGAGCAAGGAGCAGTTTAGATGCAGCAAAACTTAGTGGAGATGTGTAAACAATATCCAAATTGTTCTCTGTTGCTGTAATTCAGGAGTTCATATACAGTGGGACATTCTAACCTTCCATGGTTCAAGTTCCTTAAATACCTGAGTGAGCAGCAGCGAATGGATGGATGGATAGATGGATACTTGCCCACCACCACTGTTATCTGGAGATTAAATATTGGGCTGCATGCACATTTGCAGGGAGCACCGACCAACCACAGTAGTCTTGAACTCATACCAGATTCAGGGCACATATGAATGTCTATGACTTTATTTGAGAGTGCACTCAGAAAGTACATCTGATCCTCTCTCACAGACCTGTCAGCTTCCATCTTATAAATCTTCCCAAACCACTGACACAAAAGAAGCCTTATACTAGGTCAAAGCCGTGGTAATCTAGCCCAGTTTTGCCTACTACTCTAACTAGCAGGAGAGTAGTCTAAAACAGGAATGGATGACATGGTGGTGTGACAGTGCTCACTTGATCTCCCAACTGCTGTTGGGAGGTCAGGTGAGCACTGCTGCCCCACCACACTTTCCACAACTGGCCTGAAATAGTTGTCTTTCCCATCACTTGCTAGAGACAAGCACAGGAGGATTCAGTCACAAGTATGAGTCAGCAGAATCAGATTGTGTTCCTTTGTGTGGAGTTGGTGGACTCATGTCAGCCTCTGTTTTAGAGTTGGATCTTCTGTTGGCAGCAATTTCAGCAGTAAATCTTACCAGGTCTTCTTTTGCCTGTTTAACTTCTTATTAAAATGCCCCTCAGTGTAATTCCTGAAGATGCTTTCCAACAGCAATAACAGGCTAGTAAATATTGGGTTCATCCCAAAGCTCAGCCTTTTTTCTTTTTCTTTTTGCCAGCCCTGCACACAAGAAGAATGTTCAGAAGAGCTGCTTACTGTTAATGGATGTTGCCTATCATTATACACTGCAGTAATGCTTGACAAAATGCCCATAAAAATAAACAAGTATGTGAGGGATTTGGACGGAGGCCACCTGTTTCCTCATCAGCGTGCCAAAAGGAGTGACAAAAAGAAAATATTGATGTGATGTGCTAAAATTTCACCTTAATTGCAAGCTTGGCCAAGGACCACATTAGTTAGTGTGGCAAAGCTACTACCTGCACGCTGCTGTCTTGCTCTATGCCATCCTTGATGAAACAATTTTCCTTATGAATGTAATACTAGTATACAAATTGTGAAATGAGGTAATTTTCTCCTTGGGCTGTATGGAAAAGCTACCCAAAGGTATCATTTAAGTTTCACAAAGCTTCCTTTTCATGAGACAAAGCTTTCCTTCTAAATATTACCTACAGCAGTGGTTTATAGCCTTTCCACCCACAGGGTGGTATAACATGTATACTAAGGAACCCCCATATTTCAAGAAGGAACCCGTATTGACTTGTATGCTAAAGAACCCCCATGCATGTTGCAAAGGGTTCTGAGTTGTCTTAGAATGCATACTCAACTGATGTGGGCCACATACCTGGCTTCTTAGGCTTTACTCCAGTTTTGTGTGGCTGTGTATTGCAGGGGAAGTTCTGCACTGGTGGGCATAACGTCTTTCAGTGAAGCTTGCCTGATCTTCTCATTCAAGTGTGAGAAACCTTTGGCCTTCCAGATGTTACTGAACTTCAAACTCCTATCATTCTTGGCCATTGGCTATGCTTGCTGAAGTTGATGGGAGTTGAAGTTGAGTAGGATCTGGAGGCTCAAGAGTTCCCCACACAGGTTCTAATTGCATAAGGAACCCCTGAGAAGCTTTCAAGGTCTGTTGCATGCTGGAGGAGAAGGCACTAAGAACCTTCTTTCCCCAGCCAGTGAAAGCCGTGCTTGACAAATTATTCTAATAATACATCTGATGCCCAGTATTTTGGTGACAGATGCTTTATGAGCAGCTATCTGAGGGTCCCTACTTTTATAAACGGCAATTTATCAGTTCCTGCAGTGCTTGCACAATGTCCACATCTCACATGGATAAATCTATTATGAGTTTTCTTTTTCATCTGCTTGCTCAGAAATGGTTGCTTCAAATTAAGAGCTAGCTGGTGGTTGATGTTTTGCCTGTGGTCTGCATTAAACTGGGGCAAAATCCATCTAACCAGTCTTAAATCAACCTCACTGGTTTCCAGCCTGCTTCCAAACTGCAAAAAGAAGTCAGGGCTCCTGCAACTTTAATAGTTGTTTAGAAGAGGGGGTGTTAGCAGGTATAACTTGCCATTTTCTACACAACCATTAGAGTCGCAGGAGCCCTGTCTTCTTTTGCATTTGGCAATCTGAGAAAGAGAGGTGTGGATGGACTTTGTTTTTTTTTTTATAAGATATTTATTGAAGTTTTCAAGATATTACAAAACACACACACACAAAAAGAAAATACAAAGTAAAAATATTTAAAAATAATTCATTCCTTCCATTACTTGACCTTCATTTGCTTAGTTGCTTAGGAGAGCCAGTGTGGTGTAGTGGTTAAGAGCGGTAGTCTCGTAATCTGGGGAACCGGGTTCGCGTCTCCGCTCCTCCACATGCAGCTGCTGGGTGACCTTGGGCCAGTCACACTTCTTTGAAGTCTCTCAGCCCCACTCACCTCACAGAGTGTTTGTTGTGGGGGAGGAAGGGTAAGGAGAATGTTAGCCGCTTTGAGACTCCTTAAAGGGAGTGAAAGGCGGGATATCAAATCCAAACTCTTCTTCTTCTTCTTCTAGTTCCAGGACCTCCTCACACCTCCCTTTTTTGTATTCCAGTTCAATTATTTCGTTCAGCAAATCCCTCCCCTCTTTATGTATCCTAATCATTAATCATAAAGTATTGTAGTTTTAGATTTTTACATATTAATAATCCATTTTTTCATATTCCTTGTAACCTTTCAGCTAAAGTTCACTTAGTTTCTATCCAACATCATTCTAGCATTCATTAATTTTACAATATTTCTGTAGATAGTCTTTAAACTTTTTCCAATCTTCCTCCATCGACTCTTCTCCCTGGTCTCGGATTCTGCCAGTCATTTCCGCCAATTCCATATAGTCCATCACCTTCATCTGCCATTCTTCCAAGGTGGGTAGATCTTGTGTCTTCCAATACTTTGCAATGAGTATTCTTGCTGCTGTTGTGGCATACATAAAGAAAGTTCTGTCCCTCTTTGGCACCAATTGGCCGACTATGCCCAGGAGAAAGGCCTCTGGTTTCTTCAAGAAGGTATATTTAAATACCTTTTTCAATTCATTATATATCATCTCCCAGAAAGCCTTAATCTTTGGGCACGTCCACCAAAGGTGAAAGAAAGTACCTTCATTTTCTTTACATTTCCAACATTTATTATCGGGCACATGGTAAATTTTTGCAAGCTTGACTGGTGTCATGTACCACCTGTATATCATTTTCATAATATTCTCTCTTAGGGCATTACATGCCGTAAATTTCATGCCTATGGTCCACAACTGTTCCCAGTCAGCAAACATAATGTTATATCCTAGATCTTGTGCCCATTTAATCATAGCAGATTTCACGGTTTCATCCTGAGTATTCCATTTCAACAACAAGTTATACATTGGACTTTGCATAGGAATCCTATGTGGGTCAACTCTGAAATAAGTTCCACTCTGTTCAGTAAGACTTCTTCCCATAGAAGTGTGCATAGGATTACAGCCTTGTGCTTAGTTTCATGGGCAAGTTACTTATTGGTCAGCCACAGCACCTTGCTTTCTGTGAAATGGGATTTGGAAACTGTTCTGTTGCAGTACCAAATACAAATGCAATTAGCTCAGACTATTTTCACTCCTGGTTCTGACTACCAGTAGCTATCCTGTTTTGCCCCCTGCCCCACCAGCAGCAATTTCTACCAGTCACCACTGGTGCTGGTTTAATGGACTACCTGAAGGATTGCCTCCTATCACTTGAGCCTGCCCAGTTGTTAAGATTGTCCTAAGAAGCCTCCTCTGTATCCTCTCAGCCCTCAAAATATAGGCAGGTAGGGATTCTTGAGAGAGCCCTTTAAGTTGTGGCACTATGACTTTGGTGTCCTTTCAATCCCCCAAAAAGTCACCTCAGGCTTTTTCGATGTTGCATTTTTCAGTTTTATTCCAATCTAGTTCATACAGGTTCTCTATTGTTTCATTTTGCATTTTAATGTATTGATGTCATGTTTAAATATATCTCAGCCACTTTGAAAGGATTTAACGTGATAGAACTCTCTGTTAGAAACTCTCTCAGAAAGCAAACAAATTATCTGTCTTCTGGGGAACCAGAGATACTGGGAGAATGCAGAAAATCATTTACTAAGTTGTAACTAATCACGGTGTGCATGCAGCTACATCATAAGGCACCATATTGGCTACCTCTAGTGTAAGCCATTAAGGGCCTCATATTTCATCTTAAGCACTTAATTTTCAGTTATGGAAAGGGAGCGAGAGTTTGTAAATTGGTGACATTCAGAGTGCATGACACAAACACCTTCTTCCATCCCATTTACTGCCAAGCAGCTGAGAGAGACAAAGCAAAGGAGAAAGACTTGAATGTGGCTAAATTCAAGGCTGCATTTGCATCTACAGGTTCATGGCCTCAGACATGGCGCATGGCTGGCATCATGATCAGAATCTCAGGAAGGAAGAGGAAATTTCCACCCAAGGTCTGGAACAGACAAGGAGTCTGGGGACACACTCACTCTCTTGCTGAACTGCTGGTGACCTTCCTCCCCAAGCCCTCCAGGGTCATGACCCACGGGTTGCAAATGACTAATGCAGAGATTTGTAACTTCTTAATAATAGAACAGAGCAATCAGCATAATGAAATCCATTTTTTTCAATTAAAAAATAGCCTGGGATGAAGCAGGGCTGGCTTGAGATGAGAAGGGGCACTGCGGTCCCTGCTCACTTTACAATGATGTGATTCTCTTGTGCACTGTGACCTTGTGATACTTCTTTCATGACACATTATTATTCTCTCTAATACCACTTTCACACCTTTATATTTAACATGTCGTCATGCCACAAACGCTATCGAGTAACCAAGCCGGAGGGTTTACACAGCTGCGTTTCCTCACAAGGTCTGATCTGCTGTTTCGTATCTTGGATTATATCCCAGGATGCATTGCTCCTAACCAGGAAACCGGTTCTTTTCAAGCATTTGGGCCCATCCACTCCTTACACAGTTTTCACCCCGTCTTGATGGGTCGCTGGAGACCAGAGGTTTCTAAAGTATATTCCATATTCGCTTTACAGTGCACATGAAGTCACATGCTAACTGAGGCGGATAAAAATGCCTTGAATAAATATTAGCAGTGCATCCAACATTTGGGATGGCTTTGTTTTGTAAAAGGTGGAGGGAGAAGTCCAAAGAAGAGTCAAGTGTGAATGCGACAGACATTCATGTTAAAACATGAATGAACCCAGAATGAACAGGCACAATTGACTGTCGCTCCCTTTCAGCTGTGTGCCTGGTTGCAAACCCAGGTCTGCTACCGCATAATTGGTGAAGCGGCCCCTAGTAAGCCTGTCCTTCTCTGTTTGTGCTGTGACTTCCCCACAGACTCTCTTATCTAGCAAGCAAAGCGGGCAGGAGAGGCAAGTGCTTGAGATGAACTGCCAGAGGAAATGGGCATGGCTGAATAAACTGTAATCTGCTGCTCTTAAAAATTAATTTTAATAATTTAGAAGCAGCTACACAGAGAAGCAGGCACTCCAGCTAAATCCTCAGATCATGCATTGTTAAGTTTCTGCCATTCATTATTCAGAACAGTCTCCCAGGACGGCAGTTTTTCAACTTTTCTCAAGTTTGATTGTTTTCGCTCAAAGACTCAGAGAAGCTCAGTCCCACATATTGTCCTACTGATATTTCTTACATATGTGCACGGGGCAAAGTTTCTTTCCTTTCCACCTGGTAGCTGCTAAAAATACACACAGCAGTTTTGCTCCCAAACAGATGGACCTAAATAAGCCAGTTAAAGCTTTGGATCTGAATCTCTGATCCTGTTCACACAGAAGAAATGTTGTCACTACTCTACCTCTCCTCTGCCCCTCCTTTACATGCTTGGGGGCAGGGGGAGCTGTTTACAACCAGGTGAGCCAGTTGAAGCACTGTGCAACCACTGAGCCAGACATCACCTACCATATGACTGCTTTGAAATTAAATGGAGTTCCACCAGGCAAATAGTAATTATTATTATTATTATTATTATTATTATTATTATACCCTGCCCATTTGGCTGGGTTTCCTCAGCCACTCTGGGCGCCTTCCAACCAAATATTAAAAACATGATACAGCATTAAACATTAAAAACTTCCCTAAACAGGGCTGTCTTCAGATGTCTTCTAAAAGTAAGATAGTTGCTTATTTCCTTGACATCTGCTGGGAGGGTGTTCCACAGGGCAGGCGCCACTACTGAGAAGGCCCTCTGCCTGGTTCCCTGTAACCTCACTTCTTGGAGCTGTGTCCATATACACAATTGGATGGGCCAAATGCAGACACACCCATCCTTCTGTTCTGTCTGAATCAGGAGACCCATGCTTGGATGTGGTGATGGGCTGCATGTGGGCCAATAAATTGCAGTTGAATCCTGAAAAGGCAGATATGCCAAGTTCTCAAATCTGGGAGGTGGGGCAATGACCTTTTCTGGATAGGGTTCCACATGCTTGGCAGGAACAGACCTATATTGTGGGGGTGCTTCAGGATCCAACACTATCAGTGGAGGCTCAAGCAGCCTCTGTGGTGAGGCATAGCTATTTCCAGCTCTGGCTACTTTAACAGCTCTGGTTCTTCTTGGACAGAGCTGACATAGCTACTGAATACCAGCCCATGCTCTGGTAACCTTCAGATTGGGTTATTGCAATGTGCAATGGGACTTCCCTTGAAGGCAATCCAGAAAACTCCAAACTGGTCCAAAATGCAGTCACCATGTTACTGGCCAGGGTTTGTTTGTTTATTTGTTTGTTTCACAATGTTTATACTTGATTGTAAAAAAAAACCCTCAAGGTGGTTTATAAAAGATAAAACAGTAAAATGAAGAAGAAAAATACAATCCCTTTAGAGCTCGATAGCTCTTGTTTTAAAATAGCTGCATGAGTTGCCAAGTTGATTCTGGGCCCAAATCAAGATGCTCACATTGGCGTTTAAAGATCTAAACAGTTGTTCAGATCTGCAGAAGGGGCTCTCTTGGTAGTTACACCACACTCAGAAGCGCAAGGAATGGTGTCCTAGAAGAGGACATTCTCTGTGTCAGCCCATAAATTGTTGAACTCTCTCCCCACAAAAGTGCATCTAGCACCTCCATTGTATAACTTTTACTCTATGCTGAAAATACACCTCTGTACCTCTGTACCCTGATCTTGGACAGTGAAGGTATTTTGTTTTGTGGGACCCCCTCCCCCTTTGCTGAATTTGTAACAGTTTTACTAGTTTTTTATAACTGCAATGGTTTATCTGTTTTTATGTAGATGTCATTATTGTAACTCACACTAGGACTTCATGGTGAAGGGAGGGCGAGAAATCTTATAAATAAATAAGTGAAATGAATGCATGAGCACTGAACAGTGAGAATAGCCAAACGTGGGGGGGGGGGATAAACAAACTTGTATGAACTATATACAGATTGTACATGTGTCCAATGTGATGTATGAACAGAGCTAAGGAGGAAACAATTCATTAAGTGTGCCATCGCATATATGAGGTTAGAGAAGAGAAAAATGATCCAAATGCCAGCTTGCAGTGGCCTGTCTGTCACTGCACAATGGAGATATCCAAATCAGCCCACAGAAATCTATCTGCAGAACATCAGTGCTTAACGTGTGCCTGGAGACCAAGCTATGGTTAATCTGTTTCCATTAAGCCTTATTAACTAGAAGTTTGATGTGTCTAGGGATGTGTGCATACAGACGTCCATTTTCTATAATTGCATTAGAGAGCGAATGGAGCAAACACCCAGAAAGAGAGAGAGAGAGAAGAGTGCATTTGCACACACACAGAGAGAGACAAACTCATCTATGTTTTGGATCCAAAGAGAAAACTGCCCATCAAACCTTCCCTGTTTCTTTCTTCCCTCTCTTTAACCTTTCACCCCTATAAACAGCTTACACCATGAAGGTACAATTAAAGCTGAGCTCTCCGCAGACCCAAGCGGGGGTAGGTAAGAGATGGAGGCATAAGGGCTTTGCCCTGGTGTCATTAGT